CCCCCCCCCAAAGTACCAACTAGATTCACTTTCCTATCAGAAAAGCTACTGATGAAGAAAATCCAAGCACTTTTACTGTCCTAAAACGTGATGACAGACACAAAAATATAAAAAAAAATATAAAAACATACATCATTGTAAAACCAATACATTCATCGCTCCGCTCAGAATCTAAAATAAAAAAATATAAAAACACACATCATTGTAAAACAAATACATTCATCGCTCCGCTCAGAATCTAAAAACAAATTTTTTCATACGATTTTACGGATTTTATAAAAAATTTTCGAAGCTATAGTTATATCAACATTTTCAATAAATATCTTGATTATTTTTATCAGTTGGATACCGAAAATGGTTGAAAAATACCAAGTTCATTTTTTAATTCAAATATTTTGTAGTTTTGTACATTGCCAGTATCTACAACCACTCCAGAGAGATCTTTTTCCATCTTTTTAAGTATGAAAAGCTATCTAAGATCAACTATGAATGAAGTAGGTACCTAATGTAATTAAGGAAATATTTGTATAAAAGTTATAACATAACTATATATTCGATTCTGAGGGATCTTTGGTTTTACAATGATGTTTATTTATTTTTCCTGTATACAAAATTTCTTCCAGAAATAGTGCTTCGATTTCAACATGTATAGACATATAGTAACTTATCTTTTAGAAAATTGGATCAAGATAGTACTTTAGAGAGGTCATTTTTCGATTTTCCCAATAGTTATTTCATGCCACTGTAAAAACCACCAAAAAATTACGAAAAACCGCTAAAAATGGGATTTTAATTTCTAACACTTTGTCTATCACCATAGAAAAGAATAAAAAAAAATATTTCATTATTAATTCAACTTACAGGCTATTATAATTTATAAATAATAACAATATAAAATATCCAGACTGACAAACCGTCTTCGCTCAGAATCGTTTTTCTTATACAATGATATTATGATATTATGATATCATTGAGTTCAAGTTTAATACAATTCATTATACATTGACCCACTTGTAACCTACTGTACAGCAGCAGAGTGACATCCACTTAAACGCTTTTTATTAAATTTGTTTTGTACATATTATTATTTAATAATTAAAAACTCAAAAATTTTATATCGTCTTATAAATATGGTATATTTTATTGAATAAAGAGTAAATGGGTGGTGTTGGGGACTTCGTCCCCTGTGGGCCGTGGCTCTGTGTTCTGAAAATTATCTGGACCCTCCCCATGACAAATTCCTAAATACGCCACTGCATATACAATAATATAAACAAAACTTATTGCAATATGTTTCTGAATTTTAACTGTACTACAATTTTTCTTTCTCTTATTTATCTGTCTTATAACACTTTCAAAATCTGGGTAAATAACAAAAGGTACTTTCATTTTGTGATTAAAATTTTTAAACTTAACAATGTTTTCAATTTTATTCGGCATTTCTAATTTTGATGCCTTATTTAATATACAGTAACTCTTTTGATCTTATAATTTTCCCATGGTTTGAAAACTGTTTAAACACATTCTACAAAGATACCTCTTTTTCAAATTTTTTTGTAATTTGACTCTTAACTAATCCCCATACATTTTTTATTAAAAAATAATGTGTATTATCTCCATCTTTCAAAAATAATAAATTAATATGTACTTCTTTCTCATCATTCGTTAGAGATAGTGGTGTTATTTTATAATCTTCATCATGATGATAAACATTAATAGATAATCCGCCTTCAATCAACTTTTTCCCATCACGCTGTTTACAAAACTAGGAATTTTACTAACTATCATCGGATACTCAATTTTTACTTCATCAAATATATTTCCATATTCTCTATATTTCTCTACTCTTTGTGGATGATAAATATATGTTCAACTGGATACAAATGAGCTAAAATCGACATTAAAAAACATTTATTATCTTTTTCATTTTTTACATTTAAAACTGACTTTCTATTAGCTTTTCCTTCTGGAGTTTTTATATATGAGCTACCCTTTATTAATTAAAATTAACACCCATCGTGGTCCTCTTAAATTATCTGAAACACGTTTATGTTCATATAATGTTTTTAGTGTTGGGTAGTAACGTAACGAAAGTAACGCGTTACTGTAACGGCGTTACTTTGCTTGTAACGCGTTAAGTAATTTCATTAGAATTATATCCAAGTAACGAAAATGTAATGGAAATTACTTTTGCAAATTATGGTGCAAAAATAATTCTAACACCCACCCAAGGGGGTTTTACATAACAAGTAGAGGGATGTTTTTAGTATTACCACTTAAAGTTGCCACTACAGATCATTTTCCAAATTAAAACTTATTAAGAATTTTCTGAGAATTCTATAGTACAAGATTATTTGAATTATATAGCCATACTTAATGTTGAACATCAGAGCAACATCTGAATTCTGAATTAAATTCGGGAAATGTTATAAATTACTTTGCTAATTTAAAAGCAATGAAATTTCATTTCCGTTCTTAATTTGTATAATTATTTCATTTCTATAGCACATATTATGAGTATATTTAGCATTCTGATTTATGAACGTTGTCAATGACTTGAAATAAGTTATAAAATTGTATTTCATATTGTTTGTAATTATTATTTTCTATATATGTAGGTAGTAGGTACCATATTATATTATCTAATTTGTTGAACTGATGTCTATTGTTAATATCAAGTACCTAATAATTATGATCAATTGATATCTTATTAATTATTATTATTTGTATCTGTTTGTGATAGGTTTTTTATAATTTTAAATACGGTAAAGAGTTTTTCTATATACCTAATTATATGTTTAAATATAATATAGGTAGGTCGTATATCTTTATGCTATGCAATACTTTTTTTAGAACCATATATTTTTACAAAAGCTTTAATTGATATTTATAATAAAAAAAGAACACTTATAAAGTGTAGTTATATTTTAATAATAATACACTGGTCACTGGGTTAGTGGGTCTTCACATAAAAATTTTGTTTTTTTAAAAAGAAAATCACCATCATTATTTATTTTTGTATAGGTAACCTATAAAAAATATTATATTATACATAGACTTCAGGGCCCCATACATTGACTTTGTCCGGGGCCTCAAGAATCCTAATTGCAACACTGTGTATATGTAGGTACGCGATTATGCAGCTGTTATAATACGATTTGGACGTATACTACCTACCAAATTATAATAGTGTTGACTTTCATACTTCTCGAAATATTAATCGGTAAGCCCTTTTTAATGTTGTGCTTATGCGCTGCGGGTACGCTGTTGTTAATTATGATTCGGAAATCTGAGTTTTATAAACAAGACGATTTGGCACACTCAAATTTCAAATTTTCCGAATAATTCTCACCGTTATACCTATTATAATATATATTGACATTATACATAGCGATGGTAATGAGAGTAAAATGTATCTATTATATTATTCAAAAGACAGCCCGGAGTTACTCAGTTACTGCAGTATAATAAAATTAGTTAATAGGTAAAAATATTTTGCAAAACCATTTTCATACAATAAAGAAACAACGATTTTTTTTTAAACGGAATAAAACACACGCACGCTAACTTTAAATACTTCTAAACTAAACGAGTAAAATCAATACATTTAGATATATTGTATATAGAACACAATAGTAGTCGAATAAAAACAGAACTAGAATTTGTAATTTGTTTGATAAAATGCGTTAGGTACTCATAATAATATATTATGTTGATGTTTTTAATTCCTTAATTATATATATTATAATTATTTACGATATCTTTACGATAAAGATGAAATACCATGATATAATCATTTTTAAATTATAAGTTCAAACGTCCAAATGTAAGTAATTATATTAATTGACATTATATTATTAGATAAAAGTATCTGACAGCTAGAATTGCATTTGTCATTAATATTATATTGACATATTTTGGTCATTATCAAACGCATTAAAAAGTTAATAATTTAGAAAAATAAAAATTTATCAAAATAATATACTCATTATAATAAAATATAATTAGTCTCTATATAATATCAATTATAATATAATAATTATATCATTGCATGTAACAAACAATATTCAATATCCCGCGCGTTATCGAATACATTTTACTGACCAGTACTTCAGAGTACACCATCGAATGCAAGCCTTCGAGATAGAAGAAACGATTTTGTTGCACGTTATATACAGTGTTTCGACAATCATTTATTTTCCGTGTTTATTTGAATAGTTTTTTGAATTTGTTCTTATAAATATATAAGTCAAAAGATCGACGGACTTTGGTATTCGACGTTTGACATTCGTCAAGCGAAATTCAAACATTGAAACAGGTAAGAAAATTGATTTTATTTACCAATTTTTTTTTAAAATTAAATTTTTAATTAATTTTAGTCTTCAATCAGAGTTGAGCAAAATATTATCTAGATAATTATTCGAATAAAAAATTATTTGAATAATTTGTAAACGCAATATTATTCGAATAATTTTCAAATATGACAATTAGAATGATTTTTTTTACAATTATTAAAAATGTAATTGAATAATTTACAAACATGCTAATACAAAATATAAATATATTCGAATTATTTAGATAGTTCTATATTTGTTTCATTTATAGTATTTTTCTATTTATTTCAAATAAAAGAAGATTTACAATCGTAAACTTAAAATACAATGCTAACTATTGTTTTTTAATACGTAAATGTTTTAATTACCAAAATATTAACCATATGTCCAAATTATGTTAACTAAGATAAAATAACTGAAAATTATTTAACTATGTTTGAAAATTAGTCGAATCATTTGTTATTCAAATAATATTGTTTTCGAATAATTCGAATAATATTATTTTGAATTATTCGAATTATTCGAATAATGTTATTTTGAATTATTCGAATGATTGTGAAATGATAATTTCAATAATTTTTTATTCGAATACAATATTATCTAAATAAAATTGTATTTGAATGATGATGCAAAACTCTGATTTCAATATTAATTGTATTAAAATGGATGTATGGAATAGCTGATGCTGACGATGTACGAAGATATGATAGTACGATCGATAAATTAGAAAACAATGAGAAAGATGTAATGCGTATTGTTCATGATCAGATATCTATATTAAAAAGCACAATAATTAATTTTAACGATTCTGTTACATCATTTAATGAAAATGAGAAAATTTTTGATTCAAATATGAAAGAAGGCGAGAAAAAAGTGAACGAAATGATTATTGAGATAGCTAAGGAAGACGGAACAATTATTATTCTGAGTTCGATAACTCTTTTAAAAAACTCTATATTTGAATTGGACATGTTTATAAGTAGGTTGCAAAGAGTAATTTCTAACGTACCTACAGAACAATATAGTAGATGCGTTTATAATAACACCCGACCAATTGCTATCGGAAATAAAAAATATTCAGATTATTCTTCCGGATAATTTGAAAATCCCTGTTAAATTTGATGAGGATAATATTCAAGAAATATTCAAAATATTAAGTATTGAAATGCACACAGTAAATGACAGATTTATTTTTTCTTTAAAATTTCCTCTTTGCCTTATAGAAAAATTCAACGTTTATTACATATTACCGATTTACATTCCAATAAATGAACATGGTTAATTTCTCCACATGACTAAAAATTCTATGTATTTGTTAATGGACAAAATAATGACCAAATATTTTATTTGGCCAGATTTAAATAACTGTAAAGTAGTGGATAAAATATTTGTTTGTGGATTGAATGAAATTATACATAATTGTGACACGGACCCCACATGTGTAACAGAATTACTAAAAAATTCTGTAACTAAACCACCTCAATGTGATACTTATATCTCTGAATTCAAAACAGAAATGTGGTATCCCTCATTTTTTAAAAATCATTGGTTTTTTGTATGTGAAAAACCCACTACAATTACTATAATTTGTAATAAACAGTCTTTCACTCAAAAAATTAAAATTAAAAGTTCTGGAAAGTTATACTTGAAGTCTGGGTGTATTGCTTACACCTCGAAAGGTGTACTAAAAACTGAACAAGTATTAAATTAAATCAAACATCATATTTCTCAGTTCCAGTAGACTTATCTCTTACGAATGATTCATGCTGTAATGTATTCAAGTTTTCAAATCAGGCCTATCCCAAACCGATTCACTTCGATGAAATAAAAAATATTAAATTTAATAAAGAAGCGTTCAATAAAATAAATAAACAATTAGACCAACAAGATATGTTACTAAATTCGCTTATTGTAGATAAAACGTATGAATTTATATACACAAACAAATATTTAGTTGTCATAATAATAGTGTTTTTATTATATTTTATAGCAAAATGTTATTTAAATAGGAAAAAAATAATCAGCTATAGAAAACATTAATTTAAGTTATAATCCTCCAAGTTCTAAAAATTAATTTAGCAAAGGTTCTTAGTACGTATTTATATACCTAATATTATGTATTATTATATTATATTATATAATAATATATATTATTATATATATTATTATATAATTGTCAAATACCATTCACAACATTTATATTATTTTTTCGGAAGTCAATAATTAGTATGTATGTATTTTGTTTATCTTACTTTTTTTCTACACTTATATATTGTATACATGTTCTTGTATAAATATGTTTTATTTTATAACATACTTTAATAAAATTGTTCAAATAATCAAATGTATAGTAATATGTATAATTGTATTGAAATAAATCACCTTTATAAATTTAATTTTATTTGTTACTTTTAAACTTTTAAAGTAATTACTAATTTGTATAGGTAGTTGTGTTGTAACGGTATCTAATACACTAATTATTTGATGAGATAAGTTTTAATTTTTATAAATTCTTATATTTTTAACACAATAAATAATATATATTATATAGAAATTATGTTTAAATGTTTTTGAAGAGGTTTTTATAGATGTTTTATATAACATATAGGACTCGATTTTCGATATTTCATTTTCAAAATCCATAAAATCGTTTTGCATTTTTTGTTTTTTGTTTTCACTTTTTTGATTTGTGAAATGTGAATAATTGGTATAATAAATTAAAATATCAAAAATCTAGTACTCTATAACTCTATCTTTAACTATCCTCTATAACTTTTATAATAGGTTTTTTGCTCTAAAACAGTTAGCCGTGTTTTTGGAACTAAAAAAATAAGTTTTTTCTCACAGCCGCGGCTGTCACGGCAATACGGTAATGTAAGGACGGTTGCGGGCCGAACCCGGACATTTCGCCGCGACCGATTCGCCATGACCGTTTCGCCGCAGACCATTTCGCCGCGGACCGTTTCGCCGCCGCTCCGTTTCGCCGCTGACTTTTTCGCCGCGGACTTTTTCGCCGCCGGACCATTCGCCGAGACCTTTTCGCCGCCGGACCATTCGCCGCGAAGGGCTAACCTCCCCACAAAATATTAATAATACCAATTATGTACCTACCTATAATTTAATATAGGTATAACAATAGGCATTAGGTACAAAGATTATACAATTTTTTCAAACCTCACCCACCCGAATATTTCGTGCGTTTATCCCCGATTGTCACATTTTTGATTTTGAAACATAAATTTCGATATGTTTCTCAATTAAAATCAGATACATTTTATCACCCCTCCTACTGGAATTAGCAGCTTTAATTTCCGTTTGTGCATAAATGCGCAGCTCATAGGCATGCTCGCGGTCGTGGAGCCATTCGCTTTCAGTGCTTGCACTGTGTTGGGCCGGGGGCAAACGCTTTTATTATAGAATCCATAGTAAATAATAATATAACAAAGTCCCACAAAACAATACTTTTCAGAAAGAAAAAATAACAACATATTTTGTAGGTATACGTTCACGGCTTAATGGCACGTGACAATAATTATGAAATTATTATCTATAGGTTTATGATTTTTAATAGACATGCAAATGACAAATGTACCTACAATTAATACAATATCCTGACCGTTTGATGTAAATTATTAGTTCGTAATATTTAGCCTATATTGCTTTGTTTGGCACTACAGATATTTGATAACCTCCTATGTACTTGCCACGGGCCACGTAGGTACAAATCCAAAATTGAACTTTATTCATATATGTTACATAATGCATACTATGTAAGAAAAGGCACTATTAATTATTTAAATAACTAAGACTAAAAAAAAGTTTTGTTTCAAAATAAAAATTATACAATATTATTAGAAAATTATTTTATCGTGAATTGAGCAAACCCATGCACTTAATAAAATTATATGCTACAAAGTCAAATTAGAGGATTCAGCCGTATTAACTATTAACATATTAGAACAAATTAGGTCAGGATTGGTAAGTATACTCTGGAATTATTAAAACAACATTGTTAAATCATTGATTGTTACATATTTAATTATTAATTTAATTGATTAATATTTAATATAATAATTACGTAATACTCCTCGCCTATAAACAGTGTACCTATAATACCTGCAACATAATTATATAACATAGGTAAATTACAAGTGTATCCATGATTTATTTGGTGACCCAAAAATATTTTGAGCTGTTTATAGATACATAGGTAAATGTAATACCTAAATGTAATACAAGTTTCCTTATAAGTTTATCTACCTTTATCAATAAAAAAATCTCTACCGGATAGTCAAATTAAATTTTTATGAGCGTTTGAAATTCAAATTTTTACAACATTGGATATTCACTCGATTTCTCATGTAGCGATTTCCTTTTTTTGTTGTAACTCAAAAACAAATAACTGTAAATACATGAAAATTTCACTGAATGTTTATAATAGCATTTCCTATACATCATAGAATTTTGAAAATATTTTGACTCTTTTTGAGCTGTTTACGGACATTTTCAGTTTTCAATTTTTTTAGTTTTTTTTTCTATAAATATCAATAAAGTTTTATCTGTTGGGCCAAAAAGTGTAAAAAATTAATACAAGCCTCCTGATATATTGTTACAATAACAATTGAAAAATATTAAAAATACACAGGCAAAATTTTTTTTTATAAGCATTTAAACATCGAATTTTGACAAAATTTATCAAAATCTAGAAAATTATCAATCATTGTAATTAATAAATTATAAAATGTTCAGTTTTTATAGCTAAGGATTGCAAATTTAAAACAAAAGTTATCATAAATAGTTCATACTGTAACCAAAAAATCTAAAAATATATGAACACAGTTATTTTTTACAGACATTTTAAATCCAAATTTGGACGAAATTACATATTAAAATCAATATTAACGATCTTGGTTTTTCGTTGTAATTTAAAAATAGTATTCGGGGATATATGATACCTAATGGATATTGTGATATGATTAATTTGGAATTTATTATAGGTATCTATTATAGGTCAATTTTTTTTTTAATACCATCGATAAGTATATATGTCTTATACCTAGATTGACATACCGTCTCCACTCAGAATCGTTTTTCTTATACAATGATATTATATCATTGAATTCAAATTTAATACCATCCATTATACCATGACCCACTTGTAACCTACAGTACAGCAGAGCGACATCCACTTACCCACCTTTTTAATTACAAAATCATTATTTTTCATCTGCCTTTGAAACAATATATAAGGAGCCTCCTATTAAATTTTCAATCTTTTTTACCCAACAAATAAATTGGTATTGATATTTATAGAAAAAAAAAACCTAAAAAAATTGGAAACTGAAAATGTCTATAAACAGCTCAAAATATTTTGAAAATGTTATGGACTATGGTGTATAGAAAATGCTAGTATAAACATTGAGTCAAAATGTCATGTATTTACGATCATTTGTTAAAAATGATATAATTATTATTATATCATTTTAGATTCTGAGTGGAACGATGAATGTATTGATTTTACAATGATGTGTGTTTTTTTTTTAAATTTTTTATTTTTGTGTCTGTGTACACGATAAGTAGTCGAAATAATGCTACGATTTTCGACTTCAGTATCTTGTTCGATTGGAAAGTGAATATCGTTGGTGCTTGGGGAGGTCAAAATTTAAAATTCCCAGTACTTTTCAAAAGCACCAAGAAAAACAAAAGAAAAATTAAGGAAAAACGGGAATTTTTACGCAAAATCGATTTTTCAGAAAATTGAATTTGGTTTTTGGTGTAACTTTAAAACAAATGACCGTAGATACATGAAATTTTCACCGGTTGTTTATATTTGCATTTTATATACACGATAACATTTTCAAAATATTTTGATTTATTTTGAACTGTTTAGGGACATTTTCATTTTCCATTATTTTTAAGTTTTTTTTCTAAAAATATCAATAAAATTTTATTTGTTGGTTGCGAAAGCTTGAAAATTTAATAGAAGGCTCCTAGTATATTGTTTCAAAGGCAGATGAAAAATATTAAAAATTCTTAGAAATTTTTTTTTATAAGCATTTAAAGTTCAAAAATTGACAAAATATGGAAAAATCACGAAA